CTTACATATATAATATAATGATAATAATACAATATGAAGAAAGGAAGTAAGTAATAAAATACCAAGCTCCCTTATACTGCAATGACCTGGCAGATAATAGCAAACAAGTTATTAATCAAATTATTATTATTAATAGTCATATTATTACAAGAAGTTTATATACCGGTATATATTTTGTTGGCCTGGCAGCATAAGGCACCAAGGGACGATGCCTATTGAGCAGTCTGGAAAAAATGAAAACCCTATATATGGAAAATGGTGTATATTACGTCAATATTTTGATCAAAACTCACCGAGCACAGGTCTGCTCAAGCTCTATATTTAAATATTGTGTGTAGAATGATAATTATATCAATGAAATTTGTAAATATTGTTCTTGAGCAGACCTGCGCTCTATTATTTTTATAGTAAAAATTGAGCAAAATTTGTATATTTTTTCTCTTTCTGAAAGTTAGTAGAAAATCCGAATATTTTGTGATGTCATAAATACAAAATTTGTCAGTAACCTACTTTGAAACTATAATTTTTTTTGATAATTTAGATTTCTCATACAATATATACACTTTAGCACAGTTTAAGAGTATTGTAAATAAATTTGAAGATCAAGGCCGGCATGGTCATTTATAGATAGAATGTTCTATCGTTAAAATGATATTGTCCTACGGACCTGGTTTAACGATAGAATTCGTTCCATGTATTCGTAATGTAGCAAAAGAAACATGGGCGATAACTCGTACTCACTATAACTCAGTGCATTTACTACAAACAATCTAGAGAGTTCCGAATGTAAACATGGCAGGTAAATTTGAAGCGAGAGAAAAACGTTGAGAAAATTAATTGGATTTTCGTCTTTAGATGGATTATTTTCTAGGATAAAAGGCATAAGCAATCTCAAAAAGTTTGTTTTGATTAATTTGGTAGTTATTTCCAGTGCCAATCCTTTTATATTCTTCAAAATCATTTCGGAGCAGATCCGCTCCGATTTGCTACATTGCAAGTATATGGGACATATTCTAACTGTGGTGAGGGCTTGTACCGAGACACAGTTAGATCATTCTAACTAGGTCATAAGGTCATTAGCATTATCTAGTGGGTTAAATTATTTAACCGTTTAGCACAGTAGGTGGGTATTTTTATACGCCCGTCTTAAGACGGGACGTATTATGTTATAGGCTTTGTGTCCGTCCGTCCGTCCGTCTGTCCGTCTGTCCGTCTGTCCATTTCTGTCCGGCTCATAACTTGAATACTATTAGGCCTAGGATTATCAAACTTTGTCAACTCATACTTCTTGGGTAGACGGTGTGTCGCGCACAAAAAGTAGGTCGCTCTGACCTTTAATAAAGATGCTATAGCCAAATATGGAAAAATCCTGTCCGGCTCATAACTAGAAAACTATTAGACCTAGAGCTTTCAAACTTGGCAAAAGTATACATCTAGAGTAGAAGGTGTGTCGCGGCCTATTCCAAGGTCACTGTGACCTTTAATTATAGTGAATTTTTTAAAAAAACTAAGTCTTTCAAATTCTAAATTTCATAATCCTAAAAAATGCAAAAATATAGTTGTATGCTTATTAAAAAACGTTAAATTAAGTAAAAACTTGTTTTTTCATTATATACTTTACAGCAATCTGTTACAAATGTTTATGCTTTGATAGGAATTCAGTTTGTCCCATGGGCTTAATTATCAAGCACTGGTCAAGAAGAATTTTGATAGCAGAAATTTGCATGTCAAATTAGAGAGAAATTAATGAGTTTATTGTCAGGAGCTAAGAGCACTCTAGATCTGATCTTCTCTTGGGAGTTGGGCAAAAAGAAATGGCCTCATAGTTGCTTGTGCTAATTAAGAGTTCTTGATGGCTAGTCCAGATAAGGATCTTTAAATAGTTGTAATGAAATTAAAAACAAATTGATGTTTTAGTGTATGATTAAAACTAAATTAGTATTGTATAATATGATTAAAACTAATTATATATGTGTTCATTTAAAAAAAAAAAATTATATTTCAATTTTTATATATTTGCAACAAAGATACTATAGCAAAATATGGAAAAATCCTGTCTGGCTCATAACTAGAAAACTATTAGACCTAAAGCTTTCAAACTTAGCAAAAGTATACATCTAAAGTAGAAGATGTGTCGCGGCCTATTTCAAGGTCACTGTGACCTTTAATCAAAATGAATTTTTTAAAAAACTATGTTTTTTAAATTCTAAATTTCATAATCCTAAAAAATGTAAAAATATAGTTGTATCCTTATTAAAAAACATTAAATTAAGTAAAAACTTATTTTTTCATTATATACTTTACAGCAATCTGTAACAAATGTTTATGCTTTGATAGGAATTCAGTTTGTCCCATGGGCTTAATTATCAAGCACTGGTCAAGAAGAATTTTGATAGCAGAAATTTGCATGTCAAATTAGAGAGAAATTAATGAGTTTATTGTCAGGAGCTAAGAGCACCTCTAGATCTGGTGCAGCAGTTATCTTAATTTATCTCTTGAGAGTTGGGCAAAAAGAAATGGCCTCATAGTTGTTGTGTTAATTAAGAGTTCTTGATGTCTAGTCCAGATAAAGATCTTTCAATTGGTGTAATTAATTAAAACAAATTGATGTTTTAGTGTATGATTAAAACTAAATAAGCATTGTACAATATGATTAAAACTAATTATACTTGTGTTAATTGAAAAAAAAAAAAAAACATTATATTTCAATTTATATATATTTGCCACAAATTGCAGTCATGTCTCACTAGTATTATTTGTTATAATCAATCCCTTCACTGTAAGTCTCTTAGAGATCGATGTATAATAAGAAATGGAAAATAGATAATTGAAATCTGTGTCAATCTGTTAATCAAGGCTACCTGATTTTCTTGCATCCTAACCAATTCATGATTATTGAACAATATTTGACGGGCGTATCATGCTGTGGCGGGGCACTTTATTTATCTTAGGGTAGTAGGTTTGAGGCACAGTGTGGACTCCCCTAGCTAATTTAGAAAGAATATTCAGTCATGTAATTCAGGCAGTTTTCTTCCATGACATATCCACAGTATACTCCATACTATTGTAACAGGAAAGGGGAAAATGTGACAGATCAGACCAGGTTTATGTCCAGTTAGATTAGAACAAACCAAGCAGTGCATGCTTTAAACAGGTCAGCTTACCAGTTCTCTATATGGCCACTGGTGAATGAACCTATATATGCCTGACTGTCATATACCATTACCAGTCCCATCTTTAATGTCAGCACCAACTGGTTTCTTGTATCTTTTTCATATTCTGGTCAATAGCATCTAATATAAGATTAAGGGAGAAAATTCAGATCTTGATTTTTTATTCAGAAACATTAATAATATTGCAAGCTGAAGACAATTTAAGTGCCCTATAACCTAGCTTTATATCTATCTGGTTTTATAACTAGCAAACTTTAAGTTACATGACCACCACATAAAATCCTCCTTCCTTAATTTTTTGCCTCTGAGAACATATGAGAACATGTGAATCAGATTTTTACGCTTTACTATAGCATACATAAATTTTTATTTACGCACACATGATCATTTTAAGATTTTGGGTGGTCCTTAAACTCCAAAAATACCAGTACATGTAATAGAAAGAAAACACTTAGACCTGCATGGCTATGACCCCCCCCCCCCCTCTATAAAATCTATAATTTTTTACGCTGTGTTCTGTTCCATTACTGTTTTACATGTACAAATTTAATGTAATCCATAATGAATTTTGTAACCATGCAAATGCCTGAATCAAGATACATTAAACTGCATACATTCAAGATTTATGTGTATTATTTTTGTTGCAGAAAGAACTCTGGGTGTCTTTGAGGAGGGAGGGATATAAAAGGTTAGGCCAGGATATTAGCTTTAAGTATATAGTGCAGTGATTAGAGCACCTGTATGTTAAGTGAAGCAAGATGCTGTGTATAATCATCCATGATACATTTTTCTCCCTTCCTGTTACAATACTATATATGACTAACCAATATTTTATTTTGAACAGCTTATAGCAATCACACATGTATACTGTAGTCTGTATACATCCTAATATGTTGCACTATGATTGTCAGATGTCACATATTCCTTAATTTTCAATATTAGATCTGATATACATTCAATTTGTATTGTTGTCAAGATCTTGAAAGCCAGTTCATTATCTGTTTATACATATATGAAGGGCAACGGTTAAGGAAAGTAAAGTGATGCATCTGCACTGCTTGAATATATCTTTATAAATATCTATGACGGCAGTAAGTCATAAAGTAATGAGGATTGAATAGATATTTTTAGATCTATAGAGTCACATTATATTCTCAATTTCTTATGTTAGTATTATTAACATGATTAACATATCATGTTGTTTCTTCGTAAGGTTTAATTGTCACAACTGGTATCATCTTCGCTAGCCAAGGGTGACAATCCGCTCCTCTCCTCTTTTCAGGAGGATTATAAGGAGCGGATCGTCACCCTTAGCTAGCGAAGATGAAATGGTATAATCTGAAAAATTGAAAAAAAAAATAAAATTACAAAATGGGTATTAAATAAAAGTTTAATGGGTCATGTGCATTTTCAGTGAGTTGGTAGGCAACTTTAAACAAATTAATTTTTATTTTAGGCCTTGATATGTACAGTTAACAGTATACATAGAGATTCATTTTATTCAACCAGCAAGGCCAAGTTACTTAAATTTTTATTATCACTCCTTTTCCTTTTTAAAGTAAAAAATATGTCATTTGAATTATCAATACATTATCAATAGAGCATTATCAATTAGATAGTATTGCACTTGGCCCAGAAACCTTGGGGAAGATGGCAGTATGCCATTGATTTCATATCAATGAACAGAAATGCATTGAACTAATTGTTTCTGTATGCTTAATTGTAGGGCAGACATACATAATCACACACAATTCATGCAGAGGTTTCATGCCCGTATTTATATAACTCCAACACATGTTGGTTGAGGTGGTGTATATCATGCGACAAGTGTGTGATTTTTTTAAGAGACTGGAGTTTTTATTAGTTTAGAATGGCTCAAGGTATATTCAATGTCATCTAAGCATTTGGATTAAATGTGTTTTAATTTGCGCAGGCTAGTGGAATAAAGGTTACTGACTGTTTTTTCTGGTGTCTGTTAAGTATTGAAATTGTTTTGATTGCAGTGTTTACAAACAGTATCAAAAATTAAACCTCCCTACAGTGCAGGGTGACCTGTCACATAGAGTTGTAAGAGGGAGATACATCATCTTCATATAACAAATTATCTGTGTTGTTGACCTGAATTAGTTTTGAAATGTGTTTATTCTTCTGGGATACATCATAGTTCTTTGGACTAGCCACTGTTTTTCACTATAACATGGATTTATTTTGAGAGCACCCTGTCCATTGTCCAATATTTTAAGAGAGGACTGCAGTCCAATCAAGATGCCTTCATTGTTAACACCTGTCCCACCAGGTAAATGAAATAGATATTAAATATATTTTACATATAGAATATTAGTTCCTTTTCAATTGAATAAGCTACATGTGTTATACAAGAATGGAGATCTCATCCTCTGAAATTCACTTTCGAGAAGATAGTAATGTTGGAATGATGATTGAATGAATCTCATGCCTAATGAGGGTTTGTTTAAACTTTTCTGTTATGACCACGGGGACATAGTTTTGTGATAAGTTTTGAATATTTTCCAGTAAGTGGACATATTAGTGAAAATTCAGTGAAATAAGAGAAAAGCAGATGAAGGAAGGGGTGGGTGGGTGTGGATGCATGGGAGGGGGAATGAGTTACTAGTATATGGGATGTGGAGTCAGGGAGGTATGAAGATTTTGAAATACAGAGGAGTTAGTGTGGGGTATTATTTAGGTCTTAATTGGTTAATATAGAATTTGAAAATTGGAGGTAAAACATTTTTTGAAGAACATGGATGAAACATTTTCTGGTGACTGTAGAAAGGGAGGTAACTCTGACTTCTTTGTGGGATTTGATCAGATACATGTTACATGTATGTTGGTATCAAGTGATTTAGCTTCTCACTGAAGATATTGTTTATAGTGATCAGTACTGCATTTATATTCTAGTTTTCTAATTCTCTTAATTAAGACTAGCTTAATTACTGTTTTTTTTTTTAGTGTATACTATAATGAAGTCAGCTGTTGGAATCAGATAGTAAAATTTAGAAAAATATCTGATCCCCTCACCAAAAAAAAATAAAAAACAAAAAAAACAACAAAAAAACAAATTTTCTTCCCATGGGCCTGGAGATTTCTTGAATCTTCTGGGAATTTCCTTTTCTTGTATGAATAAGAATAAGATGGAGAAGAAATGTATGAATATAAACTAATGCTGGTCATTGCTGGACTCATGTTCCTATTTAGATAAAGTCTATTAGTGATTGTGGTGATACAAATGCACTGCTGTTGAACAAGACTTTCTCTCTTAGACTACATATTACATGGCATAAGTTTTCTTTTGAATGAAATTAAGTATGAGAGAGAGAGAGAGGATGGAGAGATTAAGTGCTCACAGCTTTGCTGCTAACTATAGTGCACTTCACATGCTCAGCTGTAGACAGCTGACTGTTTACAATATTTTTTCTGCTGTTGATTATAATGCAGTATTTTTCTGTTATTCTCAGAATTGCCTGTGGATTGTGATTTATTTTAATCATCTTCATTGATCTGGAGGAAGGTAAACAAGTGTGTATAGCCATTGTCTTCTGAGGGATTGACAAGTTATAACAGCTGGTCTACATCATTCTGTATAATGATACATGTAGGAAGGTAAATACATGTGTATAGCCACTGTCTTCTGGAGGACTGACAAGTTATAACAGCTGGCCTTCATGCATCATTCTGTATGGTTATACATGTATATACTATATACTGTCTGTGTCATACTAGTAATCAAACACTGGAGGATATAGAAAAAAAAATGAATTTTGTATTTATTCTGGGAACTCATTGAATGATCAGTTAGAACAGATGTATAAACATGAAGAATGCTTTCCAGAAAAGAACTTGTAACCCAGCCAGTTTAAAAATAAACAAAGTATTTTTTAGGAGTGAATAATGTTAAAAGTGAAGTTAAGCACTCTCTCCTGGAGTGACAGGTATATAGGATGATCATGACCTGTGTACATAAATATGACCTTTATCGGGTGTTATAAATCTGGGATGACCTCAGATGACCTTTATTTGTTTGTACACACATACATCCCTCACAGTGGTTATGATGTAAGAGTTTAGATCAGGATGTGGTAGACATTGTCTTCCTCCTTGAACATCAGTGAAGTCACCCAAACCAAATATTGGTTTATAATCAGAAGTGACAGTCCAGCCATCTAACCTGCTGCATGTCACCAGTATACCATGTCTCTTTTAAATGCTTAAGCCTCATGGAGTCCGGCTGATTCAACAAGGATATTTTTTTAACACCCTTTGTGGAGTGTAGTATTAATTTCTTGTGATAAACATTTTTTTCCTGGTGTGTGAATGAAACTCTTTTTTTATACCTTCATTTTTCAGTCAGGATTCATGTCTGTTTAGACACTTTTTTCTCAGGTGCTTTAGTGTTTACAGAAGAAGTTGTGTTTGCAGATTAATGGATTTATTGAGAAAACTGTGATCTAATTTAAAATAAGGAGTCTGCATATTCTAGCTAGTATAACTTAGAAACTGTGCATTGGTTATCATGGCAGCTTGGCATAAACTTGGCACAGGTAATATTTCAACAGTATAATACTCAAAATTGTACATGTTTTAAGCTTATTCTTCTTGCTTATAGTTGCATGCTTTGACTGAAAAGTATTTTTTCTGTGAAACATGAAGGCAACATTATGTTTTGATTGGGTGGAGGGGTTGGGGATAACTGTCATGAGGGAGATGGGGTGATGAATCAATGAGATAAGATGGCAACTTTAAAACTATCTAGTGCAACAAATTCAGCATACAGTTGTGATTGTGGGTACACACTGCTATTATACTGTTAAAGGCATACATATACTCATGCTAAATTAAAGACTTAAGTACTTTGTACAATATTACACTGTATAAGCACTTGTAAGTTCTAAGTTATTTAGATATAATATTACAAGGAATTTTGTGTTACATTTTTTTTCTTCCATTATTGTGAAATTCCACACTTTATGTCATGTATCCTTGCAGTTTTGACAATTTTGAATCATACCTTCTTCTCTAGGGATTTTTCTATTAGGATTCAGCTAAAATTCCTGATAAAATACAGCAATACAAAAGAAAAGGATTAAAAAGGAAGACAGATTTATTCGAACTAGCAGTTAATTATGGGAAACAAATAAGTCTCCACATGCATTACCCTAAATATAGACACAGAGAGCAGGACATTTACACAATTGTAATTTATAGAAATTCAAATCTTGTTTAATAATTGATTTAAATTAATGTTTATGCTAGATACATGTATTCAGATAAACTTTACAAATACTGAGTTTGAAATAGAAGTAGGGTGTGTATGTGTGTGAAGGGGGAGGGGGGGTTAGACATGTTTAATAATTTCTAGTTTTATTTAATTAAGTTGCAATAATGTGCAATTGATCTGTACCTTAAGAAGTCTTCCTCTTTCTTTTCCAAAAATTCAATAACCAAGTTATTTAATGTTAGAATTGTAAATTATTTTTTAAAAACAAGATAATTTACTGCAAGTTTATACATACATGTATTTTTATTGCTCTTGTTACTTCTGTGGAATTATTTAAGTTGACAACACGGTGATACAGAAAATACTTCTATTAAGTTAATGGCATTAGATAATAAATAAATTTAATTTAATACTTTTAATTAATGTGAGTTCTTAAGTACAGGGTGATCCAAAATATCTGATACCATTTCAAGTGATAGTAATTCTTTAAAATTTTATTAAACTCTTCATTTAAATATTTCAAATTTTAACATATGTTATAACATTTTATACAACACATGCCTCAGATTGTATACACATTCTTTTAAATAATAATACAGTTCCAAAATAATGCTGCTATTTACAGCACATGCTCTACGTGACATCCGTTTTGTTCAATCACGAGTTCGTCTTTTCCTCGAATTATTGATCAAATTTCTGGTGTAATATTCCGAATTTCTCGGGTAATTTCTGATTTCAGATCCTCCAGGGTATTTGGCTTTGGAGTATACACCTTGTCTTTTGAAAATCTCCACAGAAAAAAATTCTGTGGACTTAAATCAGAAGAATGTGGTAGCCAAACACAGTTCGTCCAGAACGAAATCAGTTGGTCACCAAAAGTTTTTCTGTAACCATCCAAAAACTTGTTCTAATGTGTGTGGGGTTGATCCATCTTTTGTAAATATATCATAGGCACTAAACAAGGAAAAAGTTTAAGTAATGCTGTAAAGTTCTGTATACACTTCCATAACTGGGCATGTTTCCTAGATTTTTCATAACACTTCTCACTGACTTTTGTCGCGTTTCCGTAACTTATCAGTTCTTCAACAACTGCAACCAATTCAATAGTTCTGATTGTCAGGGGCCTTCAAATGTTTTTCAAACGAACATCTTCTGATGATCCAGTTTTTTTGTAATTTCTTCACTAACTTATTAACCTGCAGTTTTGTAACCTTCCTGCCCAACTGATAACATTTTCTCATTATACGAATCCCTGTTAAGGGTGAATGTGTCTCAAAATATAATTGGACGATTTCTTTAGCTCTCTGATTTGACATATCTATGCAAAATAAACAATAACAGATTTATGACGTCATAACGTCATGACAACGTCAACATATTTCCATATTTTCATATTTATTAAAATGGTAGAATTAGCAGTTTAAAATGATGTATAAATGAAATATGTAGAACGATTATTGACAAAGATATTGAAAGTCAAAGTAGTATCAGATATTTTGGATCACCCTGTATCATTACTTTGCAGAACTCTTGACTGGTGAGTTTGTATCCATTTAAACATTACTGGTAAAATGAAAATATTATTTAAAATATCAAAACTGAACATCTGTTAACAGATGAAAGAGTACAAGTGGTATCTTAAATGATGTATATTTTGAAAGGAAAGAAAATGTGAAAAGATAGCAATCAAAAGTACAAGATTTTTCCCTGCTTATAGTGTCTATAGTTATCATTCAACATTCCTATGCCTATATTAAAAAAAAAAATCACAAAAATAGCCAAAAAATAAAACGGACTTAATAGGAATTCATGTAGACATTAAAAAGCTTCATATTTGAAGGATTTGTCATGGTAATCGATTTTACTTGTAAAAAGACCTTCTTTAACAAGTTAAGATGGTATTGATAGCTAATAACTTAGTACATTGTATAAGTTATATAAAAGGATTCTTAAAAAAAAATCAAAATTGACTGAATTCAGAAACTCCCTAAATTAATCAATTTGTTGACCTCTTGTTTTATGTGATTTGTATGCACCTTGTGTGAAAAACCAAGGTGTGTGATAAGGCATTAAACATTGAAAAAAATTGAAATGACCTTGATTAATTTTGATTTTCCTGCCATGGATAGAAGTTTGAAGGGATATATTGTATATATGGGGAAAAATTTGCCCGGGCCATTTTATTTCACCCTGGTGGGGCGAATTTAAAATGGCGAATTCAAAGAATAAGAATTCAGTACAATTTCTTAAACAACAGAGTGACTGGCCGAATTTAAGACTGGGCAAAATGGTTTGCAAGATTGAAAGGGTGAAAATAAACCGTGGCAAAAATAAGCCTGTAAAATGCATGTCTACAGTAAAATGTAAATAATAATTACTTTCCAGGGAGATAAATCTTACTCAGCAGGAAACTACAAAGAAATTCATGTCACATAATATTTTATGTGATTTATTTTGCAGCATCATGTCCCAATGTGATACAGAAGCCGACAGTTATATCAATGGTGGGATTACCAGCCCGTGGCAAGACGTACATGTCAAAGAAATTGACGAGATATCTCAACTGGATCGGAATTAAAACGAAAGGTATATAGTCACAAAGTAGACAGCGTGGAGAAAAACAGAAGGGGGACTAGGAAGTTAAAATTTTATGAACAGAAATAGATTTTCTCAAAACTTTTACCTACTGTGTATGCTATCTAGCTACGTCAATGGGAAAATAAAGAAATATCTGAAAAGCACACATAATTATTGGAAGCAGTTAAAAGTGACTAGACAACAAAATGTAACCTATGAATGGATTTTTGATTAACTCTTAACAATGTGATTCATATATGAACTATACTACAGTTTAAATGATGCAATGAAAATTTTATGCATTTCACAATCAATATGGTAACAAACATACATTAAGTTATGAATAACAAGATGTGTTTATGAAACACTTTGCCCCCAATGGTAACACAGTTCTGGAGTGGGACGAAGACTGAACTGGTTTACACTAACCCTTGACAGGGCAATAGTTATGGGCTAGGTTAAAGTTGACAACAGACAGACAAACAGACAGACAGGGCAAGCACAATATACCCCCAGGATCTTTCGATCCAAGGGCATGAAAATCAATGAAATTCAATGTTATATATGTTTCACTCGAAAATTGAAATGTTTATTGCTGATTTGGAAGCTATGTCCTTCTTTAGAGATTTGTTTGGTTGACAGGGGATGCTTACCCCTCCATGGCACGTAATCCCACCTCTGATGATTTTAGAGTCCTTGTTTGCACTGCCCCCAGTACATATTGTTGCAGTGGACTTTTATGAAGCTTGATTCCTATTCATTATCTGCATGCTCCATGCAGAGATAAAAGAAAACAATTGTTTAAAAGTAGAATGTACAATATTTGGCCACAGTTTCCAGATCTCCAAGAGTCAACATTTCTTTCAGCGTTCAATGTGGGCGAGTATCGACGGGAGGTCTGCACGGATTGCAGCCACGACTTTTTCCGTGCCGATAACGTGGAAGCAGAGGCCACACGACAGTAAGTTGATCACCCTTCACCTCACGTTTGACAAGTGTTTTATAACATTTTCAGCTTTTAACGTCGGGGAATATCGACGGGCCGCCACTGACAGGTATCGGAATCATGACTTTTTCCGACAAGATAATACGGAGGCCCAGGCAATTAGACAGTAAGTGGGTCAGCTGAACCAGGAAGTTTGTTTTTTTCTTTTTACGTACTAATGTTTTTGATTACACTTACTTAAGTTTCTGCAATGCTTTCACTGTCTTTTACACACTTGTGTGTTAGCCATTAGAAGTATGAAATGAGAGAAGAAACTTTCACAGAAGTGTAGAAATCTTTTTTTTTGCATTATTCAATGAACCAGATCTGTGAAAATAGTTTTCTTACTTCTGTGCTTTATGAGGTCAGCTTATGTCAATTTTTTTAACGGAGATAACTTCAAATTAAAGATATGACATGCAATATTGATGCAAATTTAAATGCATCACAGGTAAATATAACTGTGCCCTCATATTTTTTCTTGTTCAAGCTGCTTTAAATTGGTGCATGTATCATTTGTGTAAAGCATTTAAACAGAAAGACACTATTAATTTTAGTTTCAAAATTTTCTAGTTGAAATTATGATATGCATAAATTGGTGTATGCTTAAAGCCTTTAAATGCTTGATGAAGTAATTTTGCTACATCATTAGTGTTTATATTTTAGCTCACCTGAGCTGAAAGCTCAAGTGAACATTTCTGATCACCAATTGTATGTCTGTGTAGCTTTCTGTCTGTCTATCTGTAATTTTTCACATTCCCAACTTCGACTCAAGAACAACCGGGCCAATTTTAACCAAAATTGCTGTAAAGCATCCTTGGGTGAAGAGGAGTTTTTTTTTTTTTAGAAATTGTTAAAATGAAGAACCTTCTTCTCAAGAACCACTGGGCCAGGAAAGTCAAAACTTATGTGGAATCTTCTTGAGGCATTGTATAATCTAATGTCCACCCTCCCTTCCCAGCGATATGGCTGAGCCATTATAGCAAATGAAATTTTAGAATTTTATAAGAAAAAGTCATTAAAATTCCCCTTCTCAAAAGCAGCAAAGCCATGATGAATCATGTTTTGAATGTAACGTTCAGCATCCTAGGATGGTAGAAAACTTGTTTGGAATTTATTGGAAATTTCTTTTTAAACCTTCTAAGTTCTTCTCCCAAGAAAAAAACAACCATGAGAAATCACTTTTATTTTGAAGCAACCTTTTTGTAGTGTAGATTAAATTTTATTCAAATCATGGCTCCTAGCTGTGCTACAAAAAGTGAATCAAAATTTTACATAGGAATATGTATATATATATGGTAAAAATCTTATTCACAGCAGGACTAAAGTGACTCAGGTGAGCACTGTGGCCCATGGGCCTCTTGTATTTTGTGGATTTATTTGTTACAAGGCTTTGAAGGTATCAGGCACTACTGTAGGCTTATAATGCTGATTTCTTTATTATGAATTATTTACCCCAATAAGAAAATTTGGAGGATTAATGTATAGGAATCATAATATTCATTTGTAGTTCATTTTATCATCCTTTTTTGGTCAGTTTATCCATGCAATCTAGTATGTCGCGACCTACAACTTTTTTAGAAAATCACTGTTAGGTCATAAATGGTACAAGAATTGCGTATGACCTGAAGTTGTATTGTAAACTTGACCACAAGTTTTTCCACAAGTTAAAGGTCACTTTTTGTGAAAAATGTATAATTCCTACCGCAACTGTATGGTGCAATGGAGAACAGTAGAGGCTCATACATGTATTTTTGGTGACCTGAGGATGTATATTTAGGTCATTTCAGCAATTTAAAAGTTATATTACTGACAGGAAAAGTACATTACTGACAGTAAAACTCGTGTAGTTCGAACACGGATATTGCGAATTCATGGATATAGCGAAGTTATCCTGGATCCCCAGCTATATAAATTTATCAAACTTCGTATACGAATATAACGAAATACGGACATACATGTAGCAAAGTAATTTCATACAGGTCCCAGTGACTTCGCTATAACCAAGTTTCACAGTATTCATGTTTGGTCAATAACTTTGAGAGGGAGTCGAACTACTACAGTCAAACCATCCTGCATTTAGAAATTGTCTATTAACATCAAACAGACCAAAAAAATCATGGCTTCATGGATCTGAGATTAAAGATACAAAAAGAG